ATATTCAACGTGGTGGAAAGAATTACGATTCGGTACGTGAATAACGTTTTATTTGTATTTTCGAAAATTGTTCTTCTAAATAATGCCAGTGTCTCGTAGTCCAGATAATGCCTCAGGTGGCAATGAAAGACAAGTCTCAGAAAATGTGGTGGAACTGATTATAAGTGAGCCCATGAATGACTTTCCTATCCAAATCATGGCATCCGTCACCAATGAAATACGCAATTTGTTTCAAAATTTAAATGTTAATAGAAATACAGGTAAAATCCCGTCTCATATTAATGCACGACGCGAAGAGCTACCAGCATAGCCACGTGATGTACCTTTCGAGGAGCATAATTCGAATCGACAGTCGAATCCTCCACGAGGCGAATTTTTGGGAGTTGGCAGGATTTCCTTGGCTATTGAAAAACTTTTGAGTCTTATTAGGAATTGGCAACTTAAGTTCAGTGGCTCAAACGATGCCATATCAATAGACCAGTTTATCTATCGCATAAAAACTCTTACATCTCTTCACCTAAATGGCAATTTTGATACTCTGTGCCAACATGTTCACCCGTTATTCGAAGGAAAAGCCCTAAAATGGTTTTGGAGGTATCGTCAAAATAGTGACAACCTCGCGTGGTTTGATCGATGCGAAGCTATGCGTCGTCAGTTTAAAGATTTCTCCAATGACTCAGAAATTAGAGATGATATAAGGAAAAGAAAACAAAAAGCCGAACTAAGTATTTGACGCATTTTTGGCCATAATCATGAATATGTGTGACCGGGTTAGGTTTCCAATGAATAACTCCGAATTAGTCGATATATTAATGTGAAATATCAAACCCGACCTGCGTCACGAGTTGCTCCACTTAGATATACGCGCCATTGCTACTTTGAGAAGAGAGGCTCGAAAAATTCTTTCCGGATCTTCATAGTTCAGCACCGCGTCAGACTCCATTACGTTCGCTTTTTGAAGTAGCTCTCCACCCCGAAAACAAAGAAAGTGTTGGGGATGCCCCAAAGGATGATAACAGTGCAGATGTTGCTGCTATAGATACAAGTCACACAAAATGTTGGAATTATGAGGAAAACGGGCACCGGTACCACGATTGCTTGAAAACCAGGCGAATATTATGCTATGGTTGTGGCGCCCAACTTATAACAAATTCACCTGAAGTTACTAATAAAACCAGTTCCAAAATCTAACGTTGCTCTTACACAAACCAATTTAGCTAAGCCATTGTTCAGACCGTACCATATCCGACTGGTGGATTATGAACGTGCTCGAATATTTTCAGGTTCGACTCAAAACTTCCAAAACACGATCAAGTAGGCGTATGCGCTCGTATTGGCAGCATAAGAAAGAACTGCGTAAGCATATTATATCATCAATAGTACCCACCCAGCAAAAAATTGGTAATCGCTTTTAGTGGTAACGTGTTCTAGCGTTATAATGCCTTCGAATTTTTTTGCTTCTTTTAGGCATTGTCGGTAATGCAAAGTAGAATGTCCTACAATAATTTATTTATTTCGCTTCTTTGTTTCATTTTGGGGAATGCAAAGTAGAATGTCCTACAATATTTCTTTCTTAATTTGCTTCTTTGCTTCATTTCAGGAAATGCAAAGTAGAATGTCCTACAATATTTTACTTGTTTCGCTTCTTTGCTTCATTTCAGGGCATGCTAAGTAGAATGTCCTACAATATTTTTTTTTTTATTTCGCTTCTTTGCTTCATTTCGAGCAATGCAAAGCAGAATACTGCATCGCAGTTCGCTGAAAAATAGAATGAATATCTCGCATAAAAATCATGTTTTGCTTTGTTCAATTTGCAGCGAAGTTGAAGTCAGTCAATCAAGGCGAATCTATACAAGGTGGTGTTATCGGATCCGCTGATTTCACGGCGAATTTGTACCTTTTGTCAAAATCATGTGTTTGTTGTAATTTGGCTTTGTACTGATTGTCAAGGAGCGTATAATTTGTTGTTGTAGTTTTTGTTTTTGTTCTGTTAACACCACCTTGTATAAATTCGCCTTGCAGTCAATGAAGTGCAGTACAAGAGTGAGGAAGTACGATTTTAAGCTTAATTAAATATGCATGTGTGTACATACTAAACAGCTGCACAAGCACTACATAAATCGCTTGCAAGCCATCGGCTCTCATTTTAAGCACTGTACCTCTCCTTCACTCCCATAACAAAGCAACTGCTACACTCATGAAAGGTTTTGTCATACGAACGAATGCCGCACGATAGGAAAAAGAACAACAGAACAAAGCTGAAGTAGAACCAAACTGAAGCAGAAGAAAATTGAAGTAGAACAAATGCGATGCTAAACTTTTTCAAATGGAAGTGCGCGCATCACTCAGTGGAAGTAGCGGCGACAGCGAATTCTTGCTTTGCATAAGTGCATACCCAAATGTATATGTATATGGATGTATGTATGTACATACATACATATGGGACCGCGCACTTCCTATACTAAAATGTTTTACAAAAACAAGAGTGCAGAAGTGTTATGGCGTGCTTACCTAAATGAAGTGTGATATGTTTCCTTTTTACCACGCTTTTTTTGTCTTGTTTTTGGCTAAGCATCTGCGATTTTGCCTGCTCCTACATACATATGTATATTATGTATCTATACAGTTTCAAAATATGCATTTTTATTAATTACGGTCTTGACGTTGACTGCGAACTGCGTGGCTTGCGCTAACAATTGGTAATGAGTTGCTATACATACATGCAAATGTTCTAGTGCACTCGGTTGTCTTGCTAAGATTTGCCGCTATTTTACTTCAACCCTTCTTTTTGGTTTTACAATTTGCTTCACCCCAAAACTCAAGCGCTATCGTCGCTGTAGCAAATTCTATTTCGAATGTTGAAGTGTTTGTATTGTTGCGCAGCTTGCTATAGAATATTTTGTGTTGCTGTTAACACTACCTGTAGTACACCGCTTGGAAGTACTGCATAGTAGTAAAGTGTGCCTTTTAGAAGGTTTTGCGCAGCTCTTTAGTACATACCGATTTTTAAGTAAAATCTAAATACCCAAATACATACATATGTTTGCATAAAAACTGATTTATCAAAATTTTAATTAATTTTAATCTTTTAAGACATTTTCTGATTTCAATTTAATATAAATAAGTATGTACTTATCTAGGCATTCTACATTAGTTTCTCTGTAAGGCATTCTTTATTCACTTCTCTGGATTCTGTTTATCCATGCGTTCTCCCTTCGTTTGAAGGTAATGCTGCGGGTAAGGGCTTACCGCCAATGACATGCCCATGTTAAAATAGTGCCTTCCTGAAGCGAAAGGGTAAGCGATTCCCATCGCCTAGCTCGTTTCCACTTTCGCTTCTGTGGTAATCGTGTTTTTTGCTGGGCAATGGTTCGGGTATTCGACCTTACTCTAGCTTATCTATATTTGGCGATAGTTATTTAGCATTGCTAGATAGCGGGGCTAACAAAAATTCGTGAAGACCCTGATAGGATATATCGAAAACTCTCTGGTATCGTTAGAACAGCTGCCGGGAAGAGACAGAATGAAGCTGGATCACTTACTATTTCTTTGCCCTTTAATAAACAAGAAAATGATTTTTAATTTTTAATTGTGCCAACTGTGGAAGAAGAATCGGAGGTATTTCCGCTTTAGTGACTCAGAGAAGGAAGTTAGAAATCGCAATAGCTGAATTTCCATCATTTCAAAAGGAAGATCTGGGTACCACAAAGCTCCTTAAACATATAATAGACACAGGTATGTCAACTCCCGTTAAGCAAAGGTACTATCCCCTTTCCCCAGCAATGGAAAGTATCCTCTGCAAAGAAATAGATCGCATGTTGGAATTAGAGGTCATTGAGGCAGCTGAAGGTTCTCCATGGTCCTCCCCTGGTGTATTAATTGCCAAACCAGGAAAAGTTAGATTCCGTCTTGACTCCCGAAAATTGAATGAATTAACTGTTAAATATACATATCCAATACCTATTATTGACGGTCTGTTATCGCGACTACCTCCGGTATACATCATTTCAAAGATTAACCTTAAGGACGCCTTTTGGCAAATTTGGTTGTCATCTGAATCGAAGCCAAAAACAGCATTCGCTGCCCCCAATCGGCCATTGTACCAATTTACACGTTTTTATGCAATACGCCGCAGACAATGAGCCGATTAATGAAATGAAATGAAATAAATACGCATGTTATTGTTTACTTGGACGATTTTCTCGTCGTTTGAAGGTTGACAGAAATGTTCATGTCTTTCAAATTAATTTTAAATAATAAAAATAAAAATAATGCTTTGCTGTTCGTTTTCGTATCAATAACACATTAAAAGTGCATATTTAAAACATCGTTTTTAAGGAAGATTTTGTGAATTTACGAGGGTTGCGGTTTTATCGGGAGTGTCGGGAAAGGATTTTGGTCCCGTCCCGCCCGCCATATTTTTACAGATCTTCCCGATACCGCCCACCCCGGCCAATTTTAAGTCAGTACCATGGGTCCCGCGGGTCCCGCTATCCAGCGCCCATCTTTACGTCCGTTACAAGTAAATACGAGTATGTGCTCGATACTTTTATTTTCATACCAACTATTTTTTTACTTGAATCGTTGTTTCGATACCTACTTGGTATCGAAAGAAAAGTACTTGTATAGAATCGATTTGAGCAAGTGCCATATATAGTCGGCCATATTTTTTCTATGGAAAATAATTGCTTCGATTTAGTCAGGTGTCCCAAACAGTATGTCCCAGATAACGCCTGAAAAATACTTTCGCTTTGTTGCATGTACGAGGATGAAAAATTATCGATATAAGTAGGTATCTACACATTCGGTTCACTCATATAGGTAGTATCGAAATAGCGATTTTAGTAAACTCATTTGAGTAGGTATCGATACTTTGATGGCATCGGAACGTCCACCTCTCACCCCTAGAGCATTAAAATTCCGACTTTAGTTTTTTGGACCACCCAAATGTACATACACAGGTATACAGTCATAGGTATTAATTATTATTTTTTACTTGCCTCTTTCTCGTCTTTGGACCAATGCAGTTCTTCACCCATCAAATCCACAATGACAGGCAGAGCTTCTGAAGCGGCTTGCACATTTAAAAATGCCAAACGTAGTCGCCGAGCAATCATATCCACAGCCGTGCAGGCATACTCACGAACACCGTAGCGTATTTCAGCATCAATGTATGGAAATTCGGGATGGATACGGTTTCCGATGATCGGCCATCGCTTGCCTGTTAGTGATGCCATTTTGGAAACGGCAAATGCTCTGTCACCATAAGATTTTGCCAAATGTTGCGCAACCTCACATTCTAGACCAAAATCTTGTACTAATCGAATGTACATTGTTGGTGTCCACCCCTGACCGCCTTCAATTTTCAAATAAGATGTTACCGCTTCTGTTCGTTCTGGCTTTAGGTTGCAGGCTATTGAAAATAAATACATTATTATTTATGTAAAATAAGTAAATATGAAGGTATTTGCAGCCTTTTTAACCTTTGATTGCAGCGTCAATCGTGTGCTCTGCCATAGCTCTATACGTGGTCCACTTGCCTCCGGCAATTGTGACCAAATTCGACGGACTCACATGCACAATATGATTTCTAGCCAGTGATTGCGTATCTTCTTTATTTGGGTCCGATACAAGGGGTCTTATACCACTCCAAGCTGACAAAACGTCTCCGCGACGAACTTCAACATCCGTATTCAAGTAATTTTTGATCTCATTCAAAATAAACTGAATTTCGTCCTCAGTCGGGCTTGGATTGTGAGTAATGTCACACGGCAAATCAGTAGTACCAGCGATGGTTTGCCTCTGCCATGGTAAGAAGAAAATGACGCGGCCATCCGAAGTGGAAGGATCTAAAAGGCCCATTTGATCAGGACTGTAATAACCAGGAAGAACGATATGTACACCCGAACTCGGGCAGCAGATAGTCTTTACGTTGGGATTGTCCATTTTGCGTATAAAATCTGTAAATGGCCCAGTTGCGTTAATAATACACTTAGCTTTTACTGTAAATTCTCTTCCAGATATATGATCCTTGACTTTTGCTCCACACAAAACTTTTTTCCCATTTTCGTCCTTCTTTAACAATTCTTTAACTTCAACATGATTGCAAACAGTCGCCCCATGTCTAGCGGCAGTAAGAGCCACCGCTAAACACATTCTCGCATCGTCTTGCTGGCCTGGAACAAAAAAGTTTAAAATTTTAATTTCCGAATAAAATAGCACAATTTACGCTCAAACTAAGGGATTTATGTAAAAACCAGGGACATAATAGTTATAAGTTTTATCGAATAACGTTGCTCCATAACAGTTATAAGATGAGAAATATTTTTTATTTAGCCGAGTTAAGAGTTATAACCCAACGTTTACTTTTAACGTTGCCTGATAACTGTTAGCAGGAGAAATATGTTTTCCCTCACGTTTATTTATATGTTTTTTTTATATGTTTTCCCTCCACGTTTATTTTTTACGTTGCTTAATAACAGTTATTACCCAATGTTTATTTTTACGTTGTCTGATAACAGTTATTTCACTCCTCCTCTTTTATTTTCATCGTCTTTATCTTCTTCTCCATCTCCGTTTTCATCAATATTCATATCCCACAGCGTTTATCAGACAACGTAAAAAACAAACGTTCGATAATAACTGTTATCAAGCAACGTAAAAAATAAACGTTGGGCACTAGCTTTTATCAAACAAAGTAAAATATAAACCTTGGATCATATCTCTTATCGGCGAAATAAAAGATATTTTTCATCTAACAACTGTTATGAAACAACGTTTTCGTTAAATTTCAGAATTCGGGCAACATTCTCAAATCTTTAATTCCAGATAACAGTTATTTTTGGTCCTAGGTAAAAACAGTTAATAGTACAAAAACCTTGAAATACACCTATATTATTTTTTTTTTAAAGGCTATCATTCTTTAAGCAAGGCGATGATCGCCGAATGGAACGAGGAGTTCGGAAATTGTTCTTAAAATATCTTAAAATGTTTATATTTTAATATTTTTATTGAGCTTTGTACCATGATTTTGTTTTTATTAGGGAAAATTGAAAAAGCAACAAAGTCTAAGCGGTAGAAGTTGCAGCTATTTCGAGATCACCACATCTCATCACACTTCTTTTTTCTAGACTTCAGCAGGGATCGAACCCGCATCATCGATGTACAAAGTCAGAAGTGCTAACCACTGAGCTACATATGTACACCCCGCAAACTCTTGTTGCTAATTAATTTTCCTTATTCAACCAACTACTATCAAGTGCAGCTGATTTGCCGCTATTTAAACTCGACAGCGTGGTTGTTGTTGTCAATTCTATACATCAATTTTGCTTTTTTGCTATATTGTATGTATAGTTTCAGGCAGGCTCATCCTAAACTATGTATTTGTCAATTTTATTGTGCCTTATTAACATATTTACTTTAATATTTTTATTGAGCTTGTACTACGATTTTGTTTTTATAAGGGAAATTTGAAAAAGCAACAAAGTCTAAGCGGTAGAAGTTATATCAGCTATTTCGGAGATCACCACATCTCCTAATCAGACTTCTTTTTTCTAGACTTCAGCAGGGATCGAACCCGCATCATCGATGTACAAAGTCAGAAGTGCTAACCACTGAGCTACATATGTACACCCCGCAAACTCTTGTTGCTAATTAATTTTCCTTATTCAACCAACTACTATCAAGTGCAGCTGATTTGCCGCTATTTAAACTCGACAGCGTGGTTGTTGTTGTCAATTCTATACATCCATTTGCTTATTTGCTTTTTTGTATAGTTTCAGGCAGGCTCTTCCTAAACTATGTATTTGTCAATGTTATTGTGGCTTGTTAACATTTTATTTTTAATATTTTTATTGAGCTTTGTACCACGATTGTTTATTAGGAAAAATTGAAAAAGCAACAAAGTCTAAGCGGTAGAAGTTATAGCACTATTTCGGAGATCACCACATCTCCTCATCAGACTTCTTTTTTCTAGACTTCAGCAGGGATCGAACCCGCATCATCGATGTACAAAGTCAGAAGTGCTAACCACTGAGCTACATATGTACACCCCGTAAACTCTTGTTGCTAATTCATTTTCCTTATTCAACCAACTACTATCAAGTGCAGCTGATTTGCCGCTATTTAAACTCGACAGCGTGGTTGCTGTTGTAAATTCTATACATCAATTTTGCTTTTTTGCTATATTGTATGTATAGTTTCAGGCAGGCTCATCCTAAACTATGTATTTGTCAATTTTATTGTGCCTTATTAACATATTTACTTTAATATTTTTATTGAGCTTGTACTACGATTTTGTTTTTATAAGGGAAATTTGAAAAAGCAACAAAGTCTAAGCGGTAGAAGTTATATCAGCTATTTCGGAGATCACCACATCTCCTAATCAGACTTCTTTTTTCTAGACTTCAGCAGGGATCGAACCCGCATCATCGATGTGCAAAGTTAGAAGCGCCAAACACTGAGCTATGCACACCCCGTAAGCTCTTGTTGCTTAATGTGGTGATCTCCAAAATAGCTGCTATAACTTCTACCGCTTAGACTTTGTTGCTTTTTTAATTTTCCCTAATAAAAACCAAATTGTGGTACAAAGCTCAATAAAAATCTTAAAATATGTTTGGCGGTAGGCAAGGCTTTTTAGAAATATGCTTGTCCATTTTTTATGAAATTCATCCCGCGGAAATTTCCAATCGATCCGCCAAGCTAGAGACTTGACACCTTCAGCATTATGCCTATTACGATGACAATGCAATTTAAAATATAAGCGAATTCCCTAGATGGTCCAGGGGTCTTAGTATAAAGGTGGGCCAAAATACTAAAAGATATGGTTAACAGAGCGTTATTTGCCAAAGAACATAAAAAAATATTTATTTTGGAACGAATTTCCGTCATCCCTTGTCAAGCTTGGTTTACAGAAAAACCGGTTCGGCGTTGTGCCATGTTCAGTGTCATTTTTCGAACCGGTTTGTCTGCAAACCAAACTTGACACAAGGGATGACGGAAATTCGTTCCAAAATAAATCATCTTACCACCCTGTCGGAAAATCAACCAACACCAGGACACATAAAAAATGCTCCAAGCTCTTTATATCTGCCGGTGTAGTATTATCGCATAAATCGGCCAAATACCCCCTATGTGCGACGTGTGCACTTTTTTCGAATTGAGTGGCGCATAATCATATAAGTCAGGGCCGACTACATCAGGGATGGAAAAGCAGGTGCAATTGTACCTTTTTCCGACTTTTTCGAACCGAAAGGTACATTCCGTACACTGAACTCAATTTAGGTACAATTAGATGATAGCTAAATAAATCACCATATTAAATACTATGTTGCTCGCAAACAAAAATTTAAGAAAATTTTTGTAAACAAGGAACATTGTGAACATGTCATTGCGGCAACAGGAAACCTTAGCAAAGTGGCCAAGTTTTTTTATTAAATTCTTTGTGAACAGTGAAAAACTCCTCACGTTTTGAGGGCTTTCTAGCAAAGTGGCTACACTGCATTTATGTGAATTTAAATTGTGAATGACTTGAAAGTACGGAAAAAGCAAATAATAATTAAAGGCGGAAATATCTGTAGTCTGAATTCACTTTAACGGGAATAAGGTTTTGTATTAAAGACCTGGTTTACAAAATAGACCCAAATGTTTTATGTATGCAGTGTAATCTAGACCAAATGGAAAGCCTCGAGCATCTGCTCTTCAAGTGCCCAATTTATTACTGCTTTCAGGACTACTGCCTAGGACTACTTCTAAAAGAGTTAGAAAGCAACTCAATGTATATATTCAATTTAACCGATCAGTTTACAGTCAGGGGTGTACCTCTGTTGCTGGCGACGTTCCTGCGTCATTGAATCGCTACGGAGAGTGTCCGCGTAAGTTTCGACCTCTTCTAACATTCCTTGAAGTTCAGGTAGCTTATCCGAGTGGCTTTCCAGTGCGCGACTGTAGCGGACGGCAGCTTCCGAAGAATGATGGGTTGGGTACATAATGGCATCCCACTGATCCGTAGGTAGGCCCATCACATTTAAGACACGCAATGTACTACACACAACATCGATTACATTGCGTATTCCACGCTTTGATTCACTTGGGTGTTTTGGCAGATCCAGTAGTCTATTTATGTGTGCTTCAACTAAGCGTCGTGGATTATCATACCTGCGCTTTAGCTCTGCCCAAAGCTACTCGCAACTCCCTGTGCAAACGCCAGCTACCATGGGTACAGCATTCGCTTTTATGCAATGGCGCAAACGAATAAGCCTATACGTTTGGTCGAACTCTGCTCGGTCGTGAACAAGGGATTCGAACATATCCTTGAACACAAGCCAGTTCTCTTGCTGACCATCGAAAATCGGTACCTTAATGGAGTAAAGCTTCATTTCTGCCATTCTGCGAACCGGAGCCACATCTTCTCTTACAGCCATTCGCAACCGTTCCATTTTAGTTGACACCACTCTATAGGCTAGCTCCATTTTTGCGTCATGGGAAACAAGCTCCTCGGGCTTGGCTGCGCCCACCAACACGATATGGTTATACATGAAACGAGTAAAGTGCGTGGAAAGCAATTCCACCGTATGTTCAATTTCAACTTTGCCAGGTGCATAATTTTCAGCTTCCAATTCGCCTTTTATCCTGAGTATAGAAGATTGTGATGCTGAGCGCAAGTTAAGTTCAGCCATTGATATTTTCGCAAAAATCTTTGTTTAGCTGTGCGGAGTCGAAGCAACTCCGAAAATGATTCCCCAGCGCAAACGGCCGCCTGCCATCATCGTGCCAAATTAGTTCGAGCTCAGTTCGGCTACTAAAGTCGGACAACGCGCACGCCCCCCTTCAAATTAGTCATTTGCAAATCTTTTTATGCATTTCATTTTGAATACGTGAACTCCCACGTATACCCAACGGGACGGAGAGTTAGCTGCTCCCCAAAGGAGCAAGTACGGAGCAGTACAAAAGCAAAGTAAAAAATAAGTTTTTTAATTTCTAACAATGCTCAGAAATAAATATAATTTTGAGTAGTAACATAAAATATTTTCTTTTGAAAAAAAGTAAATTTATGTGCAAACATATATGTATGTATGTATTTTCGTATGTATACCACATAGAAAAGAAAAAAAACATGTTTATAAGTACACTTAATAAAACCATCAAATGGTTTACAAAAACGCCATTCTTTAATTAT